AGATTGTTGGAGGCAAGAGGCTGGCTCTGCAAACTGCTTAGAGAGGGCTGTAAGGCGCTGTGAAGCGGTATATAAGTAAGTGCCATTGCTGTTGCTAACAAGTGGGCTTTTTTGCTGGAAACTGGATGTAAATGCTGAAAACCAGCAAAAAAACCACATCAAAAATCACGGACAGGTGACCGTGGGATGGTGCAAGCAGTTATAAAGGTGAGCTGATTGGCAAGCTCCCCCCAAATGCGATCATGTGACCATGGGGCAAGGAGGGGCCTGTGGCCATCATAACTTCAAAATCTGGTTGTAAATAGCTTTGGGAGGAGTGGGGAGGAGGTCTGTCATAACTCTGAATGGTTGTAAATTGAGGACTATGAATCCAATGGGCAGATTTCTGTGCCTCGGGGCAGCTCTGCAGGTAAACGTTACCTGATTCAAAGTTTTCTGCAAGTAGGGAGTGCCCATACGGTCAGCCATGTGCCGGTACGCCGGATGGGAGAGGAAGAACTTGCGTTCGGCCGCTAAAGCCGCTTGGATGTCCTTCTTCCCATCGATGTCCTTCTGGCTACGGTTCACCACTCCGATGTAACCTACAGAAGGACACCAGACATCAGAGGATAAACACCTGGAAATGCTACCTTCCAAAATTACAAAATAGGGAAGGGTCTAAGAAGTGTCATTGTTGTTATTACTGTTATTATAATCATCATCATCAAATTAGGCTTTTTTCGAGAGGCAACTGGACTTTCTGTTTTTTCTTTGAAGACGTTTCATTCCTCATCCAAGTAGCTTCTTCAGCTGTGATGACCCAGGGTGGGGTACAAAAGCAACAAAGTCACAAAAACAGGTGAAGTTCCTTTAATTCCTTCAACTTGGCCTCCAAGGTCCAATTATCACTGACTGGAGAAAAAACTCCCCCACAAACAGTTGTGAAAAGGAAGAATGTTCAAACTCAAAATGCATATAAATTATAAATAGAAAAAAAACAACACACTGGAGCAATTAATGAAACAAAGCGGGATAAGGGCTTGAAGACGTCCTCAGTAGTCAGATAAGAACTGACAGATTAGAATTATTTCACACTTTGCTCCCAGCACTGGCCCATGTGCAGTTTGTTCTTTTAAACAGTCCTCCCAGCTGCAGCCCATGAAGGGGATCAGGGCCCTTTCCTCCCCGCACACCACATCATTCACATTTCTCCATTATCTGCTCCTCCCTACGTGCCCTTGGATGAAGAGGGTATGGGCCTGGGTCTTCCTCTGAATGCCCAGCTGGCCTGTGCCCTTCCCCAGTTTCCTACACAACCTCTGGAGCCACACTCCCACTCCCTGTCAGCTGTTCCTCCTCTTCCTCAGAGTCAGATTCTAACAGGGGCAGGACATCAGCTCT